GGCCACTAAAATTGTTCTTCTATCCACTTCTGGAACTGACTAGTCCAAAAAGAACATTTATTGATTTAGTTTTTAATAAAATCCTAGGCCTTGGGCAGGTATAATCAAAACCTAGGTCTCTCTCTCTCCCTCTCTCCCTCCCTCTCTCTTTTGCTAATATATATGAGTTTTGTTCTTACAGGTTTAAATATAATTTATTGTCAAGTTAGCTAACATACAGTGTATACAATGTGCTCTTGGTTTTGGGGGTAGATTCCCATGATTCATCGCTTGCATACAACACCCAGTGCTTATCCCAACAAATGCCCTCCTCAGTGCCCCTCACCCCTTTCCCCCCCCCCCCACCCCCGCATCAACCCTCAGTTTGTTCTCTGTACTTAAGAGTCTCTTATGAAAACCTAGGTCTCTGGAGTGAAGGGCAGAAGCCAGCTCTCTGCCTGATCAGAACAGCCATCTCCTCTTCTCACCCCCTATAGCTCAGCCTCTAATTTTTTTTTCTTTTTATTGTTTTCTTTTTCCCTTCTGTTTTTTTTTAAGCATGGAGAGAAAATACTCAAACTCTAATTTTATTATTTTTTTTTTTATAAAATTTTTTTTTTTCCAACGTTTATTTATTTTTGGGATAGAGAGAGACAGAGCATGAACGGGGGAGGGGCAGAGAGAGAGGGAGACACAGAATCGGAAACAGGCTCCAGGCTCTGAGCCATCAGCCCAGAGCCTGACGCGGGGCTCGAACTCACGGACCGCAAGATCATGACCTGGCTGAAGTCGGACGCTTAACCGACTGCGCCACCCAGGAGCCCCAAGTAGAAGCAAACTCTAATTTTATTAATGAGGCAATAGGCAAAGAATATTATGCTTAAGTTTTCATGGATACTAAAAAGAAAGTATACCTTTTTATAAGAAATTTTCAAGAAAAAACTCACTTATTGCTCAGACAATTAAGTTTACTATTTTCAGACAATTAAGTTTACTACTTTCTCCCTCCCCACTGCCGAGTAGAGAAGGTTTGCATTCTTCATCATATGCCTTCATTCATCACCTAGCCCTTAATAACTTAAAAACTTTTATCATTTTCATTGGTTTTATTCAAGAGTAGGGACATGTCTGCCTCTTGTATTTTTGAGACCTTTTCCTTGACTTCCTTTTTCTTTTTGAGATATAATTGGCATACAATATTAAACCAGTTTCAGGTATACAACATGATTCGATATTTGTATATGTTGTGAAGGTATCACTACGGTAAGTGTAGTTAACATCTATCAGCACAGAGATACAGATGGTTTTTTTGCATGACAAGAACTTTTCATTAAGATCTACTCTCGTAGCAACTTTGTAATATATAATACAGTATTCTAACTACAGTCACCTGCTGTTCCATTACATCCCCATGATGTATTTTTTCTATAACTGGACATTTGTGCCTTTTGACTCACTGCACCCATTTCACCCAGCCTTGTCTTTCATGATCACTGATTGTGCTTTGATTCCACCTCACAGAATACTTCTCAGATTTTGCACAAAGTTTTCCTGCTCCAAGTCTGTGGGCTCACAGAAATTCTTGCTACCAGTTACTGCCTTCCTCAGTTATTTTAGGCCCCACCCCCTAAAATAGCCATGTCAGGAACGATGCCAGACAGCTAAGCTACTTTCTGATCCTTCCCTATCAGTGTTCTCTCCCCCAGACTCAGTAGCTAGTCATAGAAACTCATCATGGTTCACAATGGCCTTGTAAGATGACTGTAGTGAAAGGGATTGGAGAGGAGCCTCCATCATCATGTAGAATCACTGTTCTACACTGTAGAATCTCTGTAAAGTTTACAGAGACATGCCTGACCCTACCCCATCCTGACTCTCATAGGAAGACCCTCCTCATTTTTTAATGAGCAGAAAAGACCCTAACGATATTTTTAAAACTCAGATTGGATTGGGTGAGCCTTTTCAGAGAGTCACTCAATCCAGAACTCTCAGAGTATGTGGTGTGAAATATCATGTGTTTATTACTGAGTGTGCTGTTAGAATTTTAGTTGGGGTCCTTAATGGAGAGTAAGTGATTATTCTATAGCCAAAATAGTCCCTCACCCACCCATCCCAAATTAACAGTGTGTATTATATACCCCAAGTCAGTAAGTTAATGTAATCAGGAAGCCTATGCAAAGTTCAGGTGCCTTCCTAACATCAAGGATCAGTAAACTTTGTGTAAAGGGCCAGATAGTAAATATTCTAAGCATTTCAGGCCTAGATGCTTTATTACATTATTCTCTCTTGCAGTGCTCAATTCTGCCATCACTGGAAGACAGCCATAACCAATATGTAGACAAATGAACATGATTTGTGTTCCAATAAAAACTTATTTATGGACACTAAAATTTGAATTGCATGTAATTTTCATGTGCCATGAAATAGTGCTCTTGATTTTTTTCAACCACGTACAAGTGTAGAAACCATTGTAAGCTCAAAGTTTGCACAAAATACAGGCCAAAGACCAGGTTTAGCCGGGGAACCACAGTTTACCACCCTCTGCTATAGATTTTCAAGTGTAAAGGACATAAATGCCATAATTCAACAGCCAAAATGAAAGTAAAAGTAAGACTATTATAACTGCGAGGAAGAAATTAGAGAATATGAAGTGCCTACTTTGGAGGTGCAAGGAAGGCCAGAGAGCACCTGAGACAAGAAAGTGTCCCCACGGCAGGCCATCCGAACCTCTAACATCCCTCCTGAGATGAAATTAGAAGCCCCTGTGTCCTCCTTGCCTCTGCTTATTTTCCAGGCTCATCCCAGCTGTGGGCCCTCTTCCCCTCACTCCATCTGGAACGGCAAGGGGAGTCGGACACACATGACCCTTCTCCATCCATCCTTCAATTTAGAAAACGCTGTCTTCTTTCCTTCATAACTTTACACTCTCTGTGGCTGGTTCCTCGTGACACAGGAGAGAGCTAAGAAATGCCCGTTGGTGACTGAGTCCGCTAGCTGAGCTCAGTGCCCCAAAGATGGATGTGTTTTTGAAGACACGATTTATATCAAGCTCAGCTCCTTATCACCCATGCTCGTGATATAAACGTCACAAACGTCTAGGGATGGCATGTAAATAAAAGCATGTTAACAGTTGCCAGTGATATACTATGGAGGAGACACTCAATCTTTTCCACTTAGGGGTTTTGCTGATTTTTATTATTATTTTAATTTCTGTTCAACTTTGGTCAATAGACACCTGCAAATGAAGATTTTTGTCTCTGTAGGACATCCAGAATGTGTCAGAGGGTAAGGTTTTGGGTTAATCCACTCAGTAGGCTTCTACTTGAAAGGAGTTCTTTTAGAACAACCTGGAGCTTTCTGTGGCCCACAATTAGAGCATCAGCATTTCTAGATTTAATGGGTCTGTGCCATTCACTCACTTCTGAAAGGATCTCCTGATCCTGAAAGGGCCCATAGGGATAGCATTTGTTTCAGGGTTGAGTGGAAAATGTTGGGTCCAGTTCAAGCTAGTTCTCCCATGTAGGTGTCCCTTGTACTCTCATGTACAGAGCCTCATAGTTCTGTGTGTGTGTGTGTGTGTGTGTGTGTGTGTGTGTGTGTGTGGCAGTTTTGTTGATTCATTCAAGAACTTGTCTGATATTTATTCTATCCTTTACCCCAAGGATACTGAAATGGTAGCGGCCTGGTCCTTGACCTCCACGTATTCAGAAACTGGTTGAAAAAAAGGCACCTAAATAAAATCTTTATGATACCTTGTGATAGATGATATAATAGAAGTAAGAAATGAATAATTTGGGAGTTCCTGAGAAAGTAGAACCAACTTTGAGGATGTGACAAAGTTTACATGGGAAAAGAATTCTACATTCCACTGTAACATAGTGAAAAGCGCTGGATTTGGAACCAAACGCTTCTTTTTTTCCGACATTGGGCAAGTTACTTTACTACATTGAGCCTCAGTTTTCTCATCTGTAAGGTGGGGTTAGTAATACTCACTTTGCATAGGAATCAGCCAAAAACTCCCTTCCCTGTCGTAGGTCCTTTTCACCAAAGACTGTGTGTGGCCAGGAATTCTGTTGACTATTGGATGGAAGGAACAGAAGGAGAGATCACTTTTTGTGGGGTTGCATGGGGACAGGGCATCCATTCTGAGTGAGAGCCAGGAAAAAACACACCTGGGTCAACCATTGTCTCTCTCCCCCTGGGAGTTCGTTTGGACAATGGGTAGTGTATCTTTTCCCAGCAAAGCCTTTGCATATTTTACTGTTCTTACAAGTTGACTGAAGGACCTGGTCAAATTACATACTTCTTCAGACTGCTTTTCACCATGAGTTTCAACACTAAAACCAACTTGATGATTCCTCAGGGCTCACTGTAATTAAATCACTGAAAAGGGTATTTAAACTTTACACTCTTAGCTATCTAGGATTCCTTTCCAGCAGACAAGCAAAAAGTAGATGGTTTATGAACGATAGGTACTTCATACCTAATTTCTGGGGAGTGGTGGAGTGCTTTACCTTTTCATGAGACTCTGCTTATTCTCAGTGACTGATAAATGGACATTGTGTCCTGAAACAGCTTTAAACCATCCAAGTGGTATACATTTTGGGAGGAGTATTGAAACAAAACCTAACTAATTACCCTTTATAATTCTTTGTGAGTCCTAGCATTAGAGCCCGATCAACCCTAAGTAGAGACCGAAAATGCCTCTTTAGTCACCCAGTCGAGATGATATCCAGTAGTGATCAGTTTACGCCTTTCCGTATTTTGACCCGAAAGTAACTCCCCAGTAATTGAGGGTGCAAGCGTTAACTAAGTCTGCCAGATGTCCCAACAGGAGAGACGGGATTGAAACCCCCCACCTGGCTGACCCCAGATACACTGGCAGGATGGTAAGGTTTCCGGACAGAAAGGTTACCAGATGGAAAATCCCCTGAGAGCCACAGTTGCCCCACCCCTAGTGCTGGCTTGGTTGTTATGGAAAAGTGATGGAGCACCAAAGCGTGTGTCCCTTTTTCTTCCAGGAGAGAAACCCTACAAGTGCACCTGGGAAGGCTGCACCTGGAAGTTCGCGCGCTCGGACGAACTGACAAGGCATTACCGCAAACACACGGGAGTGAAGCCATTCAAGTGCGCGGACTGTGATCGCAGCTTTTCCCGGTCAGATCATTTGGCACTGCACCGCCGGAGGCACATGCTGGTGTGAGGAATGCTACCCGTCCAGCTGAGCGTAAGAGCTGGATCTCTTAGCGGCACCCAATTCAGCAGGGCTGAATCCCCTTCACAGTGTTAACACAAAAGGGCATCACCATCCCACGATGTCTGAAACCAGAGCAGGAAAAAGAAGTAACACTTCTCCTTTCGGTCTGAAGGTAACCCCCATCACGACTACACCAGAAACGTCTTCTCGCTGGCCTGGGAGATCCGTGACACAAATGCTGAAGAGACAGGCATTGTTTCCCGTGCTGTGTACTCGGCCGTTTCAAGATGTTTGTAGCTTGTACGTTTTCTGAGCTGTCAGACGTTTTGTTATCGATACCGTAAAGGTCGTCTACCACAAATTGATGGCTAGCGCAAGACCTTTTAAATTTGGATTCTTCTCCCATCATCCCACCCCTTACCCTCTTTTTACTGAAATTTTAGTTACTGTCTCAGTAAGATAGAACACACATCCAATCTGTTACCAGCAAGCAGCATGAAAGTAGAGAAGAAGAAGCCTGTTGGAGAGGTTCCATTACCTGAAAATAAAGGGGCGCTCAGGCAGCCCTTTGCAATAGTGATGACGGCAACTAGATATCACCCGCAACTTGTCATTCTGCCATGCCCTGAAGAAAACCAACATTGAATCTCTCATTTGTTTGTCGTTGATTGTTTTTGTTTTGTTTTGATTCTGTTTTGTTCATCTGTTCGAGCAGAGGGGCAGCGACATTTCAGTTGGAGCCTAGTCTCGGTGTCTGCCCTGGCATGGACTGGCACAGAGGTGTTCTGTAGTTGAATAGGAAGAGCCTGTCTAAAAAACTACTGCCCCACTTCAAATTGCAGTGTTCTGTCACCTAGGCATCATCTCTTCCTGCCCCTAGTATTTGATTACAAGGAATCGGGGGGAAAAAAAAACAACAAACTTTCTTAGACACACTGGCACCAAGGTAAGAGGTGGGGCTGCTCGGGCAAAGTCAGTGAACATGAAAAATCAGACAAAGCAGAGATGGAATAATGCGCCTCTTGAGGAGAAAAGCAATAATGAATAAAAGGACTTTCCTACAATAACTTCACTGAGGACTCACGTTACCAATTTTCATACTTACTAAAGGGATTGTAAAAAACACCCTAGCATTTTAGATGTCTTGGTTACATTTAGAGCCCTGAGGTAATCTTTCTGCTGTTTGTTGTCCTGCTTGGTTGAGTACCACAATTAAAGATTATGCTCCCCTTTTCTTGTTTGAAAACAGTTATTTGGTGACGAGAAAGGCCAAGGAGGCATAGCAGGGAGTTAACCCTTGGGTTAATGGGTCAGTTCTCCTTGGAACTGAGTCAGTGGAAAGGGAGCGCTCCCCGAGGAAAGCCTGACATGGTGCTAGTTTCCTCACTTGGAGAGCCAAGGCCAAGTGACTCTCCAATAGGTTCTTCTATATAGACTTCATTTTCTAAACTGTATCGGAACCCAGGGGTTCTGCGCTGGCATCTACAGGGATGTTGAACCCACTCATCCTGTGCTGAGGGTGAGAGGAAGGAGATGATCATCCCGTCAGCCCCCTAAACTCACGAGCCTTTCTTGCAGCTAGCGAAGTACACAGGAAACAAAGCAATACATCACCAACAAGCATTCTTTCAGAAAAATTACCGTATTTTGTTTCTCCACTAAAAGCTGGGTTGTTTTTTTGTTTTTTTGTTTTTTTTGTTTTTTTCAGCTTTATGTGGCTAAGGGGCTTGGTGAAGTTTTTTTGTTATTGTTGTTGTTGTTGTTGTTGTTAAGATTTTTTATAGCTTAGATATAAAAGGTTGCCAGCATAGGCCTTTGCAATATATTTTAATCACCAACACTTGATTTGGGGAATTGCACAAATTAACCTCACAATATTCCTAGCTCATGTTTAAATGTTTGAACATTCTGAAATAATTTCCGGTTGTAGAACTATCCTTTTTGGGATCATCTTCTTACTCAGAGAAACTTTAATGATGAAGCAAGAACTATAAACATTGAAACAAGGACAATTCGTGTTGGATGGTATTAAAAGGAATTTGTTTTAAATGTTCAAGCAACAGCCTAATGATTTTCAGGTCAAATTCTGTCTTCAAAAATACGTGCTCTGCATTTTCTGCCAGGTCTGAAAAATTCATCAGGCAATTTCCTTCGAACAAGGGCTGCGATTCTGTTGATAAACAGCTCCTTTTGCTACACAATCTTACTACCCACCAAGCACTGGGTTTTTTGGTTGTTGTTTTTTTGGGTTTTTTTTTTTTTCTCCTCTTTCGTTCTTTTTTTTCTTTTTTTTTCTTTTCTTTTTTTTCTTTTTTTTTTTTTTTTTACCAACTGGAAAGTTTTGTTTTTTTTTATCTGTACTGTATACAATTCCTACTTCTCATTGCTTGTGACCATTTTGGATAGAAAAAGGTTTCTTGCTACACACCGGCGTTGGTTACTGGTCAGTGGCAAAGAACACAGAGAGTGGCCAGCATGGCCTATGATGTCCTCACTGCCGGTCCTAGAACCTGGTTGGCTGTTAGTAGGTGAATCGCCCAGGCGCAGTGTAGACTTGATTTCACTCTGCCTACTCTCATAAGAGGGGCAATCTTTTCTCTGCGGAGAGATATCTTGAGAGTGTTACAAGTAGAAATGGTTTTTAGAATTTGTAGAACTGACAGGCAGTGGGAGCTTCCTGAGTGACAGCTTGACTTAAATTTAGCACAGAACTAAATGAGCTGCTCCTCTCTGATCACATCGGAAAGGTTCAGGGAAGTGAGCTCTTTCTCCACCCTCTGAAAGTAGAAACCAGACTGAGATGGAGATGGTAAGTTAACTGATAAAATCTGTCAGCGTTATGACATTTCCCCCTTTCGACATAATCGATACTTCTAAAGAGAGATCCGAGCACAAGCAGTGAGTGAGTTGCTGATCTCCCCTTCAGGACGGAAACTTACTTGGGGCTCATCCCAGGACATAGCAAATTCTTCCTGGTGAGTTTCCTACCAGTGTTTCCCCATGGAAAGGAAAGTGATTTGGGAGAGAAGGAATTGGATTTTTAAGTAGGAATATCTTCAGACATGGAAAAGCCTCCTCCATTTCATCTATATCCATTCTAGTCTCTTTTAAAAAGCACAGTAGTAGACGATGAGCAACAGACAAGGGGCAGAATCCAAAGGATTTGTCAGTTGCCTAACTAGAAGCATTCTTTGGTTTTAAATTTGGAGCTGTTCAGTTTGCACTTGGACACATGTGCGTGTTTGAGAACTACACAGACAGCTGGAGTGGCTTGAGGAGCTGTAGTAGACTTGACTATCTCTTTGTGGTGTAGAGATGGGAGCTCAAGAGACTTAACATTATTTGAAAGAGTTACAAGTTACTCGGAGGTTTTAATAGATGCCCTCCCCATATTCTGATCATAAGTTGTTAGGAAAAAGATTCACGCTTCCCTATCCACCTCCAGCCCCATCCTGTCAATTATGTGTGGACTCTGAGAAGCCTGCTTGATAACTTGTCTTAAGTTGTATTAAGACATGTAGACGAAAATCCCTAATGGCTTTCCCATAAAGAATGTACTACTGCCTGGCATTACTTCGACAAAACACTATAGGACATTGATTTGCAAAAGCAGTTGACAATAACACAAACTGCATTTTTAAAAAGAGCACTTTTTATTCACTTTAAGTGGAAAATAGGAGGGGAAATTGTGAGGTGGGGAGAAAACCTTACAAAATGCTACAGTGTTTACAAATGCCAGTACTAGGGGATGAGAAAGGCCATTCTCACTCTGGTTGAAATTTGGAACAGCTTATACAAAGATGGTGTTCATTTTTATACAACTTTTTTTAAAACTTCAAACTTTGCCATTTCTGTTTTAAACGTAAATCTAATTCTGCACTTTGAAATCAGTTCATTAGAATAACATGTATATGGATAAAGATGCAGTATTCCTTATTCTGTACTTTATTTATTTATACTTACCAAAGCTGCAAATGAATAAATCTGGTGAGGTGAGGCCTTCAAATGTATTCCTACGCCTTTGTTATGTGGTTATGACTGCTAAGAAATGTAGCCATGATGTTGTTAGAAAGGTGTCTTAACATTTATAGCGAGGATTGACAGAATTTAAGCAGTGTTAAGAACACCAGCACCCATAATACACTGAGCTATAGTCTTCATGTAAGGGACTGAATGAGAGAGAACTCTCATGCGTCCTTTTGGGCCCAGGAAGCCTTAATACTCATACTGCATAGTCCCGTCTCAGATTTTGCTCTGTACTCACGCCTGTAAATCTAGGAGGTTCTATGTATTCTGTAACTTCGTTGACCAAATCTCTTCCTTCAGTTTTTCTGAGGTAGTGCATCTCATTCAAAAATCTTTCCATTCAATATGCTTTTGTTCTGAAAAGGGGTTTGGTAAGTCACGTCTTCCATATTACATTTCTACTTACCCCCACACTGCCTTCCACTTACCTGTACAGGCACCCCCACCACATACACACCTGTATATGCAGCAGCCAGTGGGCTCGTAAATATCAACAAAGAACTTTTTTAAAAGAATGAATTTGTAATAATCCATGCTGTCTAGAAATGTAAGTTATTTACCTTATTAGGGAATCAGCTTATAACGCTATGTATGACTTTGCCTGCATTTTATAGTTAAGAAGTGTACATAAAAATTAAAAATGCTATATTTTCACAGTTTCATTATAGAGTAATGTCTGTTTAGCGACCCATGTCCATTGGTACTTTAAATATGCTGAATACTGTGCAGTTGCAATAGAAATTCAGATTTTCGTAAGAAAATGACATAGGAGGATACTGCATCTTTAAAAAAAAATAGAGTGAAAATATTTTGCTGTATTCGTAAACGTATGTGATAGTGGAAAAGTATTTTCAAACTCACAAATTTTACAGAGGTTGTAAATAGTTTGATGAAGTATGTTGGGGAAAAAAGAGCTTCTAGTTTTCATCACAATAAAAAAAAAAGAAACTTGTTCAGATATGCCTTGTATATCGTACAATTAGCAATATTGCCATGGGAACTGTGTTCCACTGTGTCAGAGCACATTCTTTGTGCTCTGACCAAATGGAGTGGTCACTTGTCTCAATTTAGCCAGGACGGTTTAAAACACAGTGAAGTCATTTTAAGTTGCAGACAACTGATTCCAAATTCAAAATGTCTTTGCCTGAAGAGGAGAAAATAGCCGCATAGGATTTTACTTGTGCTAAAGAGAAGCATCTAGCAATTATTCTCTTTTCTCAATTATCTTCCTCAGTGAACTAGTTTTTGATACCAAACAAAAAGCAAAAAAGCAAAACAACTATAAGGTGTTGGCTGATTCTTGTTTAATTCCAGAGGGAATGAATACTTTTAAGAGTAGCTACATGTTGACAAGATGAAGTGCTATGGATATGGCCACATGTTCAACGAATCTGTACTGGCAACAGGAATAAGCTAATGCCCATTTTCAGAAATGAATTAAAAGCTGAAAGTGCCTGTCAATAGACATTATGACCAATGAGATATTCCTATGCTTTTACACAGCAATAATTCTTCATTAGACCGGGTCTTTCCTCCACATTTGGGAAACACATGCACACACACACACACACAGAATAAATATATGCACATCGTAAATTGAACAGGTTCTAACACCCACGAAAATTCTTTTGTGATTTTTTAAATATACCCAATCTTGTTTTACGCTAGTATTTCTTAATTTAATCTTACAGAATGTAAGAATGCAAATCTGAACATTAAGGTTATCTTCAACGTACACTCTGGAATATGGCAATTATAATCTTAAGGTAAAAACTTCACTGATTCGCCCCAAACTTGCAAAGCACTGTGTGTAGCTCAAAAGGTTTTGCTCAGTTAACAAAAGTCAAATTATGTAGAGCAAAACACTGGAGATACTTGTTTGTTTTACTTTATTTTGTCGACTAATATCAAACGCACAAATTCATCTTTACATTTCTTCATTTTCTTTTTCCCTAGTATTTTCTGTTATCCTACAAGAACCATTTTGGAATGAATATCGACACAATCATTTCTCTCTAAAAAAGTCTACTGAAGACTGCTGACAGTAAGCCTAGCTTTGACCAAGGTTTGCAGTTAGTCCTGGAAATTACCAGATTTACATTCAGAACTTGCCTACTTTTTCCTGTAATTATTTTACTGCTAGAAGTGGAGTCATGAATAGAAATATACAATGAGATTATACGAATAGACAAGAGCCCTGGAAATTC